TGTAGATTAATAAAGATGAAGGTACAGATAAATTATTGGCATATATGAGTCATACATGAGAGAGGGAAAAGATCTTTTAGATCATTCTGTCTGTCTTCCGAGGGCGAGTGCAAGATTGTTCCATGTGGCATATTATATTTTTTCAGTGTTTTCTTCAATCTAGTTTTAAAAGCCCCCCCCGTAACAGAGCTTCCATCTCTTCTCCTGAGAGACCATTCCACAGCTTAGCACATCTCACTATCAGGAAGATTTTCCTGGGATTCATCTTATATTTTTCCTTTCATAGTTTCCATTCCCCTCTTGCTGTTTATATCCTTCAGATATTTGCAGGCTGTTATGAAGTCCCCACCTTAGTTGTGGTTAAGTTAAGATTGATTTTAGCTCTCTTAATTTCTCATAATTGTTTCCTTCCAGTCCTCTGATCATTTTTGTTGCTCTTCTCTGAACTCCCCCCAGTTTGCTAATGTCTAATAATGAGCTGCCCACATTGAACATAATATTCCAGGTAGGGTCTCATCAGAACTGTGCAGAGAGGGGCTATTGCTTCACTGTCCCAAGAAGAGATGCTTCTGTGTATGCAGCTAAAACACACATTCCTGGTGCCTGGGACTGTTGATGCCACGTGTCTAGATATAAATCTGTTTGAACAAAGCTGCATAGGAAACTTCAAATATCCACCTGCCAGTGAAGTCTCACTCAGTTGGTAGGAAACCTCCTTGGTTTTGGATATGTTTTCTGGCTGTGTTTCAAGTCCATTACATGGGAGATGTGGATTGTATTGTGTATATTTCAATTAGATGTTTGCAGTCTCTCTTTCGTTTCAAAATCTCCCTTTTCACGTTGTCCCCTGCTGAGCTAAGGCTAGAGGAACAGAAAAGGGGAAGCTCCTCTTCACACCCACATCCCTCTGCCTCCACAGGAAACAGCGTCTGATCACTGTCCACCTCATTCCTCCAAATGAAGTATCTTTCTCTGGGCTGAAGCAAGGCTCTTACTACCTCTTATTGGGTCACATCTTGTCATTTCCTGGGGAACAATGCAGTTCACCACAGTCAACTCTCCAAGAGCTTTGTCCAGTCCCTGTTTAAATGTCCTGTGTGTAAAAGGGTTCCCTCCTCTTCCTTTGGGGAGACTCTTCTCCAGTCTCACAGGTTCTTCACTGTTAGGAAATATTTTGTGATTATCCAGTGTGAGATTTCCACTTCTTGTTCAGTTTCATCTCATCTTGGTTTTTTCCCTTTCCCCACACAAAGCCTCTCTCCTTGTGATACCATAACAGCTGAGATCAGCAGAGGCCCTTAGGCCTCCGGCACCTTGGTTCAACAGGGCAGAACTACAGGCACTGAATTCTCACTGAAGGACCCTCAACTCTGGAGTTTGCTTTCCTTCTTAGTTGGATGGATCCTGCCAAGACTCAGATTCAGCCAGTATGTGCCGGTGCAGCATACCAACACTGCTTGCATGCTGCTATCTTATTCTCCAAAATTTAAGTTTTCATGTGTTTTAAAAAGTCTCTAGCTGTAATGATTGGTTGGAGAGATGCACTCAGCTCCTGTTTTCAAGGCTAAGGGATGCAGTGATCTCTATCTGTGTTTGCAGAGTCTGAAACAATAACTCTGTGTGGTGTGAACTGTCCTATTTATCTCAGTGGGAGCCACGCCAGATGCACAAGGATAACAATGTTGACATTTCAAGTATTAATTATTTCATTGCTCACCTGTTGAAGTCCTGGGAATGTGGGCATGCACAAACCTCCCCACAACTGACGGCATGGGCAGTGTGTGAACCTCTGGCTGGGGGAGACTAGCCCCCAGCCCTGCCCCTTCTGCCCAGGGCCTCGCCCCTTCCACCGGAGCCCAGAGCCCTCCCACTGTGGCTGCCAGCCCCTGCCCCAGGCTAGTGCCCCCAGCCCTGGGGGGAGGGAGGGCGATGCCAGTGCAGCCCCCCGCAACGCTGGGAGGGTGGGCGGTGCGGCCCCAGCCCCTGGAGCTGGGCTGCAGCATGGGAAGCAGCAGGGGGGCTGGGGGTGGAGCATGGGTGGGCCATGCCTGTCTGGGGAGGCACAGCCTCCCCTAGCCTGTGATACCTGCCACCCATGACTAAAGGCTAAGGAGAGGAGCCACTGAACCCAGGGCTCAAATAATTATGGGTGATAACAAAAGGAATCAGCTCACTGTGAGCATGTAGGAAAGGAGAGGGATGATCCTATTATGAAGGTCTGCAATCTACTGAGTGATGCCTCACTTTTGGCACCATGAGTGATTGGCCTTGGGAGAGTACTGCCACTTTCCCCAGTCAAGAAGGGGCCAAACCTAAGGAGCCTAGTAGAGCCCAAAGGAGCATCTGACCCCTCTTGAAGGAGAGCCACGCTCAAGAAGCCCAGTGGTGTATATGTGCCTCACTCAGGGGAAACCAAACACGCAGAGCCCATGGGTGTCTTTGCACCCCAGTGATGGGGAACCAAGCCCAAAGATCATGTATGATCACATTTTGAACATCTATACAATTGACTGTGAGTGATGTCTTGTGGCTGGATCTTGGAAGGGTACCACAGCCTTTATTTTGGTTTGTTTCCATCTGCACCCTGGATCCTGAGACTGCTGACCTTGATAGTCTGGTTCAAGGCCTTTTAGCTTCCCCAGCCTTTGGGGAAGGGGCAAGATTAGGAAAGTGTATGTGGGTTCAATGGATATTGATAACTTATTGGGACTAACTGATTAAGGCAGATGAATTTATGGGGATACATTTATTTCTGGTTTGTGATTCTTTCATTGTACATGTGCCAAGAGCCCAGTGAGCGGGCCATTTCAAAGTCAAAATAATAACATAAAGATATAATGAATAGGACATAGCCAGCACAGCTACAGTTGTAAGCAAGCAAGCAAGGAAGATGTAAGCAAGCAACTGTAGCCATCACAATTTTATTTTAGTCTTTCCTCATACATATTGTGCTGGAATTAGTTTTTCATGGCAGCAGGAACTTTGGTTCTGTGGGAAAGATGCAACGTCTGGACTGGGAGGTTGAGAGAGGAGGGTCCGGGACGCATACTCTGTTTTTGAGAAGAGGGAGGAACTGAAAAGTTTGGACAGGCGACTTCTCAGAACTGTGAAACCAGACTTCAGTGTTAAGTGTGAGCAGATATTTATCTTCTATTTGAGCTATTTTCTGTTTATAATCGATGAGTGCAAAGGATTATGTGATGGAGATGGAGCTCCCCCTTCCCTCTTAACATCAGGCTTTGTGGGATTTCTCAGGCCCTCAGACTGAGTCCAATATCTTGAGACACTCAACAGCCACACTGTGCTAGTAAAACTGTCATAATAATAATGAATTGTTATCCAAAGGTCTCGTCCTAGGCATTGTACAGAGATGAACGAAGACATGATCAATGTCAGAGAAAGGGAGTAACTTTTCCATCTGAAACTCCAGGAAGAATTCTAGAGAGGCAGAATGTAGTTATATGATTAGGAACCTGGACAGGATGCTGAGGTTAAAACTACCTACTCAGGCAGAAAGTACCAGGAAATCTTTAAATCAACATGTGGAGAAGGTCTTATTTTTACATTGTATCTGAAAAGTAGCAGCTCCAGGAGCACAAAATCATTCGTCAGCACCACAATGGAACATTGGAGTCAGTAATGATTCTTCAGGAACAACGCTCCTGATTGAGTCACATGCACCATCCACGTCCACACAGCGCCCTAGCCGGACTCTGAGGTATTGGGGTCAGTTCTGATTCAGAGGAAGGTGTTCCCTTACCAGGAGTGCTCCCTGCCGCAAAATATCCCGTAGCACTGTGCAGGGCTGTTGAGTTCAGTGTTGTGGAATTACTGATGTCTGGGTAGTGCAGATGTAGGCAGCCATTTCTGGGTATGGATATATTATTAAAGGAACTATAGGGAGATGTAAGCAGTGCATCCCTTTTGGGGTATAAAATCTATAGCCTTCTCTGTAGCCATAAGCTGTTTGGGACAGGAATGCTGTTATTGTTGGACCCATTTATAAATTGTCCAGTACCACGTGTGTGCACAAGGCTAAAAATACAGCTATTAATGGGGATGCATAGTCAGGTAGGTGTATATACCATACATTTACCATGGTTCCTGTTTTTTCTCTTTCAGCTCCCCAGCACTGGTCATGTGGCCTGTACAGCTTGGCTGTAGGTGTTGGGACACTGAGCGCCCTCATGGTGATTGCAGTGGTAGTATGCACGGTTTGGAGGAATGGTGAGTGTCCAAAGAGACATTGATGTGAACAACCTGAGATCACAAGATAGGAGATCTGTTCTCAATTCACCTAAGCAGAGAAGGCAAGATTCTGATTACCGTTATACTATGGCAAATCGGGAGTAACTCCACTGAAGACACTGGAGATACTCTAGCTTTGCACCCTGTAAAGGAAATCAGAAGCTTGCCTACAGCTTACTGAGGTCACCCCCTATGGAGACCCCAGAGGGTAGATCCTTTAACTAGGCCTTGTTTCCTAGTTAAAGGAAGAGCAATGAAATATAATGAGTTTTTTTTGTTTTGTTTTTTTTCCCCCCAGATTTGTCTACCGTTAGACAGTGAATTGAGAAATAAAAGTATTACCGGTATGACATTCTTAGTGTAGCACGTACAAGAAGGTGCTAAACCCCATATGAATATGTTGCATGCTGCTGTGAGCTGTGATCACACCTTTTTCACTTCTCATCCTGTGAAACGATCACGCCCTCGGTATGTCGTGACCTTTTCCCCTGTGTTTCAAACACACGCAGCACCTGTCTTGCTTTCAGAGGGCTAAGTTCTGCTCTCACAGGACTAAGTAACTGCATCCACTGAAGTCTGTGGAGTTATCCAAGTGTCAAAGGAAGATCAGCCCTATAGTGCACACAACTGATCAAATTCAGAGGTGATGTAAAGAGTGGTGCAAGTTACACAAAGGGCCTGTGATTCCATTGCCTTGTATAGTTGTTTATACTTTTATTCCTGACTCTCACGTCCCTGCCTTAATTACAGTCCATCCTGTCCACATGGCTGTTGTGTTCTACCCAAGGTGGCTACATTTTCGCAAGTGGGTGTGCAATCCCGGCATGTATCCTAGCTATAAAATGCTCTAAAATGCTTCAGAGTGAATAGAAAGAGAAAAGTCATTATGATTCCTTTGCAGATAGCCCCTGTCCTGGATGCCCTGACCAGTGGTTTGGTTACAGGAACAGCTGTTACTTCTTCTCCAAGATGAAAAAGGATTGGAATTCTAGCCAGGCAACCTGTTCTGCAGAAGGATCACATCTCCTGGTGATCAGTGATGCCAAGAAAATGGTAAAAGTCTGTCAGTATCATTACATATGAGGCTCTTTCATTGTCTTGCAAATGCTTCTGTGATTTGCCTCCAGTGCATGCTATCATGCTGACACCAATTTACTATAAAGGGGCGAAAAAACCCTTCATTATAACAATGTTACGCAGGAGGCTGACATTTTCAGTCTACATCTAAGAGGTTCCCATGGGGAGGTTATGATCAGCAGTCAGGGAAGGATGTTGCATGGGAGCCTTTTTCCATCCTTTGGCCCATGTCCCTGTCCCCACCAATAGTTAGCTTTCCACTGATGAGAGTTAGCTTAGCTCAGCTAGTCTCAGCAACTGAACGCAGTTGTGTGGGTGATACTGGAAGCCATCTGTTTGTAAGCTCTTTCACCTCCAGGTGCCAGGTAGGGGGCACAAAACTGATGACCATGAGAGTGTTTCAGGCACCAGGCAAACAAGGCAAAGCTAGTTGGGACTCTTGCTTAAGCAAATCCTGACCACAGTCCTTGCTGCTGGGAGCCGTCCTCAACCTCCATACGACCCATTTTTCTACTGCCAGAAAACCTCCCTGACCCCTCTGCTGAAAGTTCCCCACCGACTTCTCAGTTCCTGGGGCCTCCCTTGATATCTCCTGTCATGAGTTCCACATACAATGGATTTTCCTTCTATAAATCACCCCTGTACTCCAGCCACGTGCTACTGCGTTCCTTATGCTGCATAGGCTGTGACCCATAGGCTCCCTTTTGCTGGAAACATTCTTTGATTTCCTGGAGATGTTTCCCAATCTGGCCTATCTCCACACGGCCAGAAGCCCTCCCTGGTTTCTCCAAGCTTCCATTCCCCAGGCATCTCTCTGGCTCCTCCTAGTCCCTTGCCTCACAAAGACACTTCATTGCTAGAGCTTCTATGGAAGATGTCAGTTTTGTTGTTTTGCTTCCTTGCATCACCATTCCTGGCAGCAGGAGGCATGGAGTATTTATTATGATTTAGTTAGAAACACAGTGGGGCAAATTCATCCCTAGTGATTTCTTCAATTTTTGTGGATTTATTCCACGGCGGAATTTATTGTGTACAATTATTGTTTCTATGAACAATGAACACAAGCTCAAAGTCAGACAAATGGAAATGAAATCCTGTAGGGAAGGGGTGGACAAACTATGGCCTGGGGGCCGCATCCAGCCCTCCAGATGTTTTAATCTGGCCCTCGAGCTCCCGATGGAGAGCGGGGCCTGGAGCTTGCCCCGCTCCGTTGCTCCAGCCGGGGAGTAGGGTCGGGGGCTTGCCCTGCTCTGTGCGGCTCCCAGAAGCAGTGGCATGTCCCCACTCCGGCTCCTACGCATAGGGGCAGCCAAGGGGCTCCGCATGCTGCCCCCGGGAACCCCGGCCAATGAGAGCTGCAGGGGCAACGCCTGCGGACAGGGCAGCACACAGAGCCACCTGGTCGTGCCTCCGCATAGGAGCCAGAGGAGGGAAATGCCGCTGCTTCTGGGAGCTGCTTGAGGTAAGCGCCGCCTGGAGCCTGCACCCCTGACCCCTTCCTGTACCCGACCCCCCTGCCCCAGCCCTGATCCCCCTCCAGCCCTCTGAACTCCTCGGTCCTAGCCCGCAGCACCTTCCTGCACCCCCAACCCCTCAGCCCCACCCCAGAGCCTGCACCTCCAGCCGGTGCCCTGACCCCTGCACCCCAACTTCCTGCCCCAGCCAGGAGCCCCCTCCCGCACCCTGAACTCCACATATCTGGCCCCACCCCAGAGCCTGCAACCTCAGCCGGAGCCCTCACCCCCTCCCGCACCCCAACACCCAATTTTGTGAGCATTCATGGCCCGCCATACAATTTCCATACCCAGATGTGGCCCTCGGGCCAAGAAATTTGCCCACCCCAGCTGTGGGGGAAAAGTTCTTGTGTCTTAATGAAACCTCAATGCTGCCCTGCCAATGCCTATTCCAGTCCTGTGCTTCCCCACGTAGCTCTGCCAATGCCTATCAATCCTGCCCTGTAGCTGCACTGAGTTCAGCCTGTGCACCTCTGTCCTGACTTGGTCTGAAATTGCCCTGTAGCTTTGAATGTAGGACCCTTATCTAAGAGACTCTGGCGGGTGCACTCTGAGTTCACTTAGTGCCCTGGGAACTTCCTTTGCTGTATCAACACAAGGCACCTCAAGTTGTGATTTGCTGCTTTCTGAACACAGTGTGTGCTACATGTCTCAAGACAGGACACCCAGGATTGGGCTGCTGCTTACCCCCTAATTATAAAAAGAAGAGTTTGGGGAACACAAGGCAGGGCCAGCAGCAAAGGAGACAAGCTATCAGCATTTCTTAAGGTGGAAGCAGAGGTCTTGCCACTCACATGAAGAGTAGTTAAAACTGCAAACTTCATTTGCAGTTTTTACTGAAAAATTCCCAAGTTTTACACAAGTAATTATTCAGTTTTTATTGATTTTTCATCCAATTTTGGGCCATTCAAGTACATGAAGAAAATCCAATGCATTCCATTAGTTAGACGTGTTTATGTTACTAATAAGTTAGTCTAAGTGTAAAGTGTGAGACTGTTGGTCAAAGTAAGGCAATGTGGTAGAAGATACGCACGCACATGCATGTGTGTACATATAGTCACAAACTGTTAATGTACAGTTCATTAAATAAACCACAGCATTAAACTGCTTTTACTTTCAATACTATTACTTTGTTGTTACTTTTTTTTCTGTCCTCCTGTCCCCCCAAAACTGTCAAGTTAAGTTTCTGCACTGATTTTCACACATTTTAAATTTTTTGTAATAAACAGAGATGAAATTCCCAGGAAATTTTAAACAAAATAATCACTGAAAATAAAGGTCCTTGATAATAGTCAGGCTCAGCTGATATATTTTGCTACCTGACATTTGATCGCTCCGTTTGCCTATCAGGACTTGAATTTTCAGGTTGATTTTGATTAGTTCCTTTGTCCTTCCCCACTCCCTTCTAGGACCTGTTCTTGGGAATGCACATAAATTACCACTGGATTGGTCTGAGGAACAGCACAGGCAGTGGCTGGACCTGGGAAGACGGCTCAAAACTCAACAATACAAAGTGAGTTTGGTTTCAGTTTAAAAAAAAAAAACAGCAGCACTCTGAAGAGCTAGATCCTCAGATACTAACAGTGTTTATCAGTCCTTGCTCAGGCAAAACTACTGAGGTATAGGTACAGCGCCATAGCTATGCTGGCATAACCCCACAGTGCAGATGCATCCTACACTGAGGGAAGGGTTTATTCTGTCAGTGTAGGAACACCATATTCCTGAGGGATGCACAGGCGCTGACTTTTTTCTTTCCAGATGGGTGCTCCATCCCCGCTCCACCCTGAGGCCCTGCCCCTACTCCACCCCTTCCCCCAAGGCCCCACTCTCACTCTGCCTCTTCTCGCTCCTGCTCCGTCCCCTCCCCCGAGCATGCCCTGCCTTGCTCTGCCTCTTCTCACCCCCTCTTTGCCCCTTCCCCTCAGTGCCCGCCGCTGAGCAACTGGTGGGTGCTGAGCAACTGGTGGGTGCTGAGCAACTGGTGGGTGCTGAGCAAC